GTGGGTGTGGGTGTGGGCGTGGGTGGGTGGGTGTGGGTGTGGGCGTGGGTGGGTGGGTGGGTGGGTGTGAGTGTGGGTGGGTGTGAGTGTGGGTGGGTGGGTATGGGTACGGGTGAGGGTGTGAGTGTAGCTATAAAGGACTAGTACACTCCGGCACCACACCCCACACCCACCCACACCCAGACCCACACCACCACATACCCACATCCACATCCACACCTCACACCCACATTCACACCCACACCTACTCACACCCACGCCTACCCACACCCACACACCCCACACCCATACCCACTTTTTTCACTGTTGCATTCATTTAGTCAGCGTATGAGTCGTTAACAATTAATTAGAATATGAAAAAAAAAGGATGGAGATACATTCTTGCAGGATCGAGAACATCAACACATACATATGTCTATATGCACATTTCTGTCAGTTGAATGTTACTAGAATAGATTCGAAGACAGAGTAGCTCTAATAAAGAACATAATGCACATATATTCATCTCAGAAAAAGAACACGGATGTACACAAATCTACGAAAAACTTACATCAACATTAGAAGAATACGAGAGTAAATGATAGCAACGACTAAAAGTAATCATAGTCGAAGTGAATTGATTAAACCCCCCTACAGAATAGAAGCCCAGTGGGCTTCTAATTTGTTTGGAAAATCATCAGTTCGGACATGGGCTTTTATTGCGATCAAAGTTTTTCATACGGCAGCTAAAATTCAATTGACTTACAGGCACAAAAGTTCTTCAAAATTTACAAATCGAAATTATCAAGTTGTCAGACAATCTTTAGCGTACCTGTCACAACTCCTTAGGATTCAAGACAAGTTGGCAGTTCTTTCTCTGTTGTATATTATCAAATCGACAAAGTAGTACACTATTTACATGATGTTTTACATTTATATACTTATCTATCTTTAGGATTTCGTGGATCTTGCTATGAATACGAAAAATTACCTTTAATATTAAATGTTGATTTGGAACATTTCGAGTTTTGAAGGAATTTAAAAGAGACTTCTATTAGACATACATCGGTATAGTTCTACTAGAGCATGTCATCACGATAGCTTATACCCAGTTCAAATATGAAGCGAAATATATTTTAATTGTCACCGCAGAAATATCAAATAAACCTGTGACTATACAATGCAGGACTTCTACTTCTTGAGAGATAGATAATTCAAATCTAAGAAGTGTTATAATAACTGATATTGTATCATTTCAGACTGGCATGTGCTTTTAAATCTAATCAGTTATCGCGTAATTCGTATTGGTCATAGGTTGGCTTCCTTAGAAGTATCATCCTTCAATCAGATAGTTGTGCATATTGCTACTAAGTTAATAAAAAAAAACCTTAAAGTTTCGTCTCAGAGTGATACATAATCTTATAAGAGGAAGAAACCTAACAGAACGGTATTATTGCATGCGTAATTGTGAACAGTATAAATTTTGTAGAAATAAAAAAACACCAAAAGTAAGAACTATCGAAAGAAAATATATCAAAAGTGTTATTAGTGCAGCTTCAGCACACTTGCCCATTAACATTGCCTGAATAGTTTGCAGAAGGATCAATGTCCTGGATTTGCATATGATTACTGTTTGCTAAAGGTGCATTAATAATTCTTTCAATATTTTTTCTTTCGACATTATTTGTTTCCACCAACTTTATGTATGTCGTAATTTCTATTCAATAGCTTTTGGACAACTATGTTTTATTAATACATATGGGTAAAAAGCTTTTAATGCTCGAAACACATTCATTCGTCTGTTGATGAAAATATGCGACGTAAAGAAGATTAGCCATATAAACTCAGTTACAAGAAAGTAGTAAGAAGCAATGGGCTAATCTAACTAATTTTTTAAATTGTTTATTTTGTGCTCATTTTGGATGGGGTGGGCTTCTAATACGTCCGAAAAGTTATAAGCTTGAGACTGGGCTTCTATTCCGGATGGGCCTCTATTATAGGATGGGCTTCTATTCTGTGGAGGGGTTTATATTACACAGCAGAATATGAAGGCTGTGGTTTTATAATATTTCGAACAATAGCGATTCGTGCATTAAAATGTTCCTCGGCCAACTGTTTCACATTTTTGCTCGTCTGCTCACGATCAGCTTCGCATTTATCTAACTTTTGTCGAATTTCTAATAACATACGCGCCAAAACTGCATCTGCCCGAGAGATACGATCCAATGCTTCGCGAATCTTTTTTCGCATATTCAAATCAGTCCAAATATTGTCAAATAACATATTAAAAATAAGGTTATCTTGCTCGATATGTAGATCACCGACGTATGCCATATGTGGGTACAAACGACTGGCTTCGTTGATGAACTGTTGTGCTTGAGTTGCGGCATTTCTAGCTTTAGCCAAGTCAGAACTCACGAATATGTCGACAACTCCAGAATTAGTAAATAAATCGATAGTGTTCATGTCCAGTGCGTCATTGAGTGCCCGTCGGGCGACAATGACAGCTCGATGAGCTTTTTGCAGTAGATGAAAGATGTGCGTTAAATTGCGGTGATTGTTCTGCAGGGTGATGAGACACTCTTTTTCTCTTTTCAAGTTTTGTTCCATTGTATCTTCATCCGGATATGAAGGTGTAACATCAGCAAAGAAATGTTCAAAGAGTTTATCTAATGTTCGCTTGGTCTTTAGATACTCTTCATAGGCGATTTCACATAGATGTAAATGATTCTGAGTAGAGCTAATTTGTTCTTGCACAGCAACTAAGCGTTGTTCTTCTTCTTTACACTTTTCAAACTCGCTCAACCATTTCTTTTCTTGTTCATCTAAGCGTTGTTTGAGTTGACCTCGAAGCTTGTACCAAATATGTTTGACGCCATGTCCTTGGATGTCGACTAAACGTTTGTGCTCCTTTTCGGCTGCTGCATTGAACGTATCAATCTTCTCTTGTATAAGACGAGCTCGATTTTGGCAAGATATTAAGTATGACCGGGCTTCTGATAGTGCAGCTTCGCTCGATTGCGTATCAGATAAACGATCGAAAAGAGCTTGAAATTGTTCGCTTTTATTTTGGATCTGTTGTTGAAGTGACATGACGTGATTTTGTGACTGTGAAAATGTACGATGAATATGACGGGTTATGCCAATAAGCGTGCGTTCGAAATTTTCATATTCGTTGTGTCATTCATACACTTATATAAGCACGCGATAGTTCTCTCTCTCTCTCTCTCTCGCCCTTTTTCTCATTTATTCCATGTTTTTTTCTTCCTTCATCGCTCTCTTTCGCACATCGACATATATTCCCAGGTCAATGATTCCGGGCTCAGGATCCTTTTGGAGCCAGCAGGAACCGCTCTTTTTTCCGGCGAATTCCCACCGGTTCCAACGTTTTTTCCTGCCGGATCCCGCAGGAAAAATTTCCGGAACATGGAAGCAGTATTCTGGCCGGAAAATTCTCGTACCCGGAAATGACCAATTCACACATTTTCCCGCGTCCGGAATCCACAAGGGAATAACCGAGATCTCAAAAGGAACTGTAAGGAACCTACCCAGGAATCCATCATATCCTAAAGGAAAGACGCAGAACCACCTATATTGACCCATTCAAATTGAGATCTTCGAGGATCCTTGAAGATCTCAATGATCTCAGTTTGTGTGAGGGGAGAGAATTGAGATCCTTAAGGACCCTCGAAGATCTCACTACTCCACCACTTAAATTGAGATCTTCGAGGATCCTTAAGGATCTCAATTTAAGTGGGAGGGAAAATTGAGATCCTTAAGGATCCTTGATGATCTCAGTTTGTGTCGGGAGAGAATTGAGATCCTTAAGGATCCTCGAAGATCTCAGTTTGCGTGAGGTGGAAATTGAGATCCTTCAGGATCCTCTAGGATCCTCGAAGATCCGCGAAGATTCTCAAGGATCCGCGGAGATCCTAAAAGATCCGCGGAGATCCTCAAGGAGGGTGTGGGTGTGGGGTGTGGGTGTGGGTGAGTGTGGGTGTGGGTGTGGGTGTGGGTGTGGGTGTGGGTGGGTGTGGGTGGGTGTGAGAGAGGAAGTTCCACACCCATACCCCACACCCACACACATCCACGCCCCACACCCACCCCACACCCACACCCACACCCTCTTCTCTAGAGTATTGAAAACATAAGTAAGATTTATAAATTTTCAATGTGGATAGGATTCTGAAAAGTATTTCGTCATTAATTTGAAAAAGAAAACTAATGAAGTTAACGACCACTTAATTGATTGTATGTAAACATTTGTTCATTAAAAAATGTCATCTATTCGAAGATAAACACACACAGTTTCGTGTTGTTTTACAATCAAATTCATACGTATTCTCTCTAAGCACAATTAATTTTTTTTTACAATAAATTTGGAATCGATGTTAAAACATTCATGTCAAGCAGAAACAACATGAGATGATAATGCCATTTTTAGAAAGTTTTCTTGTTGAAAAAGAGAATGAGTGTTTTCTTTGGACTCTCAATCTCAGCCCCTAAACGTCACTTTATCCTTAACTTATAGAGATTTTTCTGCCTTTTTGACTGCTTCTTTTATAAGATCGGTCTCACGATATTATTTAGATTTCATAGTCCACACGATACAATAAATACAGACAAATAGTTAATTGATTTCGTCTTGTCATTTTATTTGTTAGTAAACTCTGGTATACTGTTTTTAGGACTTAATTCAAATAGGAAAAAAAATGTGTTAGTGTTTTCATTGAATATTTTTATGTCCAATGATATCTAAATATCGTTAAATAAGCTTGAATGAATTAAAAATAATACTTCCAACATGTGATGATATCGGTGCATGCGAATTAGTTCGATTTTCAATAATTTGTTTGACAAATGTTAATGGATTGAAAGCAAATCGAGCTTGATTAATTTGCAAATGGTGACGATGAACTGGGTTGCTCACAAATCCATCGACACCAATCCAACCTTTTTCAAAGGCTTCTTTTTTCACAGTTGTTCGAGGTTTAGGACATAAGCCTAAACATTGACAATAAGCTGTTTGCTCATCAACAGTTTCAAAATAAAGAGTGCCATTAAATATAAATAATTGAGCTAACCATTCGAATGATATAATGAAAGGAGCAACATTATTTGAAAGTCTAATTGATGGAGGAATCGTCAGAGTTGGAGTATTGGCAAAAATTGATTGAACTCTCTTCACTCGAGGTAGCAGTAGGCGTAATGTGGTGATTGGTGAACTGTTGGAACGCAAGCGACCAATCAACCAATTAGCCTCAAAAGCGCTAATAAATATAATATGTTGATTTCGGTACACGACAATCCATCGTGGAGGTCGTAGAAATGGATTTCGTGATTCACCTTTGGTCGCAATGACACGTTGAATATCAGTCGAAACCCAAAAATTGTGATGCCAACTGTTTGGTTGACATTCACTGTAAAATGTAGTATCATTGAAAGCATATACTAAAGGATGAAATACTAAAGGAAATTGAAGTAAGTTCATCATATTAGAATGTGTATCACACAATCTTTTAATTCGTTCGTGTAAAATTGGTTGACATGGTTTGACAGGTGGAGGACGTGCCAATTGTCTTTCTTCTTCTAATTCTTGTTCTAATTCTCGTTGTTGTTCTTCATCTAACAATTGTGACAGACGTTGTTTTGTTCCTCCATAATCTTTCAATCGTTTTAATACGGTCTCTTGAATTTCTCTTGATAGATAATCATTGTTCAGTTCATATCGAGCAGAATGAATCTCGAAAAGTGTTTGTAGTACTTTAGGTGCACCATACATGCGTATTAATCCAATTATTTCAGGTTCTAAACATTCTCTAGCTAATTCTTCCATCATTGTATCAGTAAACAATTGATGGTGATCAGTCCATAGAATGTTTCGAAATGCTGCAACTTTTCGTTGGAAACTTAAACTTTGTGCAGCCCAATGATGTAATCCATTCCAAGTCGAATGTACTGTATTCTCATATACCCAACGAAGAATATCGATTAAGGTAATGAAATTATTGATATTTTCTTGAGATGAATTTTTTTTCAATTGTGTAATTTGTTGATGAACTTCATATGAACTCCAAAATGTTAATGAATGACCATTTCCTAATTTTCTCATTCTCATTGCTGCTTGAACAAAACGATCTTTTGTTAAACCATTTCCCAATGTTAATGCAGCTCGAAATCCCTTCGGAAATTTAAAATCAGTCCCTCTTGTATGAATCTCATCTAAATAACAAACACAACGATCTAATCGTTCACTCGCAGGAGATATTTCAAATCGATGATGATGAAATTGACGATCACAAACAATAATTGAGTCTGAATCAAAATAAACTGCATAATCAATTTTATTTTTATCGGATAAATGCAACCATTTAATAGCAATATCCTGATTATTTCCATCAATGAACAATGCTCCAACATCTAAAATGACATTGATCCTTTCTTTATGCTTAACAATTTGATTTAAAATTTCATTCGAAGTCGCATTGATTGGTAAAAATTGATAATTTTCATTTTCAGCTTGTAATAAATTATTTACAACGATTGCATCAGTTTTCTGAAGTTCAGACAAATCATATTGAAGAATATGAATAGGAAGTAATAATTGTGTATCATTAGTTCCACTAAATCCAGTTATTATTTTCGATCGTGCAGATGAAGATAAATCCCAGGCAGATGAAATTAATTTATGTGGAAATTGTTTTGCTTCTCGAGGAAATACAAAATAATTTAGAAAATAATTAATAACTAAAATATTATATCGAAAAGTTGGGAAAAGATACTGAGTTCTTTGTTGATAATCTATTAAATTAACTCCTTTCCATTGTTTGATATTAGTCGGTATATCATCGTCTTTTTCATATAAAATCCATTGATCATAAATCGATGCAGGATCAGTTTCTTCTGCAATTAAACGATTGAAACATTGAGTTAATTGTTCATCATTTAAACCAGAATAATAATAGGAAAGATGTGTTAATACTAAAGCAACATCAGGATGGCCAAATTCAGTTCTATCAGCTACAATATCTTTTGCACGAAATGGTACAGCCATTAAACGATTAAAATAAATATTTGGATTAACACCATAATTAACTCGATGTCGTTTCTTAAAAGCAATTAATAAAACTTCTGATGATAATAAACCACGAATAATGAGAAATAATTGAATATCATTATCTGAAAATTTATTATTCAAATTCTCAACTGATGAATTTGTTTTTAAAATAAATGATAAGATGATTTGTTTATTCGCATGTCGATAATTTCTATTATTGATCCAATCATTAGCGATATTTTGACATAATTGTGGAAATGGTTGATGTGATTGCAAACGAAATTGTGGAAAAGCACTTTTTCGTTCAGCTGATTTATAACAAACTTCCTTACTGAAACATTTTGAGATACCGGCAGCATGTTTTTTTGACTAATTCAAGTATTGATTGAATGGTTTTCCAACGTTCTGCACCACCATCAACTTGTTGTTGACCACCAACTGTATAAATCAATTGATATTTAACATGTAATATTTCATCAGATTCATCCAACACATCACGAGCATACGTTTTTAACCATCGTTGAATCGTTAACATCGAACGACTAGTATCAAATTCATTTCGTCGGCATTTATCTATGGTCAATAAATCAAAAGAAAGAATATCTTCTGGGGAAGTTAATATCACATCACAACTGTGTAATCCTTGTTGGAGACGGTTGAAAATTTGTTTTATTTGTTCATTGGTGAAATTCATATCCCGACGACATGCAAATGGAAACACTCGTCGATTAAGTAAACCACCTAATTTATATCGTAATGATTGATAATTCACTGAAAATAATGATTTAAGTACTACAATACGAACCAAACTTGAAGAAGATGAACATAGACTAAGAGTTAACATTGGCAAAATGACTGATGTTTTTCCTTCACCCATATTCATTTGCATTACTATGCTTTTTACTGTTGAATTATCTGTTGTCATATTTGGTTTCATCATATGATTTGCTACTTTGATTTGAATTTCTCTAATAGTTATATTCATTTCTAATTCTAAGATTAGCCAAGGAACATGTTCGGATGGTATCCAATTCGAATGCGGTCTATGTGATATTTCTTTTTTAAAATCTTCCCATTTATCATGAATGGCAAAATGCAAAGCTCTTTCTAGTTGTTGTTCTAATGTCCAATTGACAAGAATACCACCAAGTAATGTGCGTTGATCTGTAGTCAATACAAATGATAAAGATTTGACAGAGTTTACTATTTGTTCTTGGAAAACAGACATGACAGTTGCTGGTGTAATTCTTGTTACTAAGCCTATGTTAAATAATCGTTCATTAGATAATCTGATGGGTTCGACGAATTCATTCCAGAACTTTGTAGATTCCTCTTGTAAAGACTTGAGAAATTCGGCAATTTCTTCAATTGAAGGATCTTCTTTTTGAGTGTGTTTATCTAACAGAAGTTTGTTCCAACTTTCAGCTAATTGATTTTGAAAATAATTGGTAATTTCACTGAGAGGATTATCTTGATTGTTGATGGAAGGAAAAATTGCTTGGGGAAATGTATTCTTTTGATCCGCAGTTTGAACAGATACTGTTGGTTTATTAAAATGTCCTGAATAAGAATGATGAAATTTTTGTTCTGTACTTCGTAATAGTTCTTGATCAATTGATTTGTTAGCAGATCTGATTTGTATTCGATGGTGATCTTGGAATAATTCGAGTGCAAATTGCTGAGGATAATATGATATTTTGATATCGAACTTTTCTATTGTAACAGAACAGATGCAACTTTGAACGGATTCTAAAAAAGATCGAAGTTGTCTATTATTTTGCCAAGACTTTAATAACTGGTTGATCTGAGCTTTTTCAGTAGATGTTGTCAATTCATTTCTATCTTCATAATTCGAATCTGTCCAGAAACAATTCTCGATTTGTGCTATAATTTGATTTCGTTTGTATGAATTGTAGTAACTTGATAAGTTGATACGTCCTCGTACAACGGAAATTTCTTCAGTGTTTTGGTAACAAATAAATTGAGGAAATGTAACAAATGTCGATAATATAGTAGGCATTTTCAATGCTGTTTTTAGCATTTGTAAATAAAACGGTTTTATTTGAAGTTTGTTGAAGATGTAATGAAGGAAGTCTATTAACATTTCGAATCGTTTGATTTCGTCTCTTCTGTTATCAGTGGTCGATGTCTTGAGATAATCAACCATTTTTAATAAACCAATCCAAGTAGTTTTCAGTTGATTTTCATCAGTTAGCCATTGAGACAAAGGTAACCAGTGTTGTTTCGAACAGTCTTTAAGACGGACATTTCCATTATTATATAGATCATCTACGAGACGAACAACACCGTAGTTCGTCTCGTGCGAGCAATGCTCTACAGGCGACTGATATGATTTTTTATAACGTGTAATATCTGCTTCCATCTGTGTAGATAATCTAGCTAAAGGATTGTACGAATCTCGATAATCCCAATAGAGTTTTTTCAACAATCTTTCATTATATAATTTTCCTTCAAATAATTTCGGTACCTCAGCGGCAACAGATGTTGTATACATAAAATTCAGTTGTTGACTAGTTTCAATTAATCTTTTTGCTATCAAATAATAACTGAAATGTTGCATTGAATAAGGTAAACCATTCGAATGCCACTCTATTTTTTCCATACAAGTGAGATGTTCTGGGTAGTAATTGACCTTCGGTGAAATAGCAGCAATTTGAGCTAAAATATTCAGAGAAAGTGCATCGAAAGGTTGATCAGACCAACAACCGGCCGAATTTAATAACTGGAAAGCACGCTCCATTCCAGTCATTCCAGTATATTGATCTGGTAAGGGATGAGAAGTCATGGCATGTAACAATGCTAAATATAGCCATCCTGTGGGACTGTCAGTCGATTGAAGAATCCGCAATCGATCGTTCATAATAAAAACAAAATAATGACGAAGAAAGTCTTTCGATTCGGATATTCGTTGTATAATTACAGTTTGATGGGTATAGTCTGATGTCTTTTGAGCATGCAGCTGTCCAAAAGGGACGATCAATTTTCGATACGGATAATGTTCCAGCTTTTGATTATTTACGGATGATGGTGACAAAACAAGACCAGATTGCAAACCCGTTAATGTCCCCAACCATTGATTTTCGTCAATACACATGTCTGAATATTCACGAGATGTTATGATGTTGCTATTACCGTTATATTTGAAAGCAATCCCTAATCGTGATAAACGAATGTGAATGATTATATCAGTTGAAGATGAGTTATCTCGCATCATATAGACATAAGGCTTATCGTCGAGGCGAATGAAATATCGGTTGAACATACTGTCAAAGAATGTTGATGATTGATTAACTAAAATTTGTCTATTAATTGCTTCGGTAGTAGTAATATGCCCGGTCGTTAACGATAGCACGTAAGGTTTGTTATCTAAAAAATCGGCATCTTTAAAATGAACGGGTCGAAATTCGACTATTTGGTCTTTTGCATTCCACCAATGACTATGATCGGAGACAAACGTATCCGGTAATTCAGTCTGGAAACATTTATGAGGAATCAATTGAAACATCTCATCTTTGTGTATGTGTCGTTCATTAATTGTCAATCGATTAGTCTGATCATTGAAATGAAATTCATATTGAACTCTTCCATCACCATGATATAAATGTTTGGTAATGTAAGTGTTAGGTGCCTCAGCCGCTTGAGCTTCAAAAATATGATAACCAAATACGCGTACGAATAATTCATTGGTCGTGATTTTTTCAGGTAAAAATCCTATGGTTATATCATCCACTAGAAACGTTCCTCGGATGCAATCAATTGATATATATTTTGATTCATATCGACAATCATACCATCCATCATGGGAATCTTTTTTTCGTTTTTGCCATTCTCCATTCATATTACCTTTCCTTTTGATAACTGCCCAGTAAATCGCGGCAAACTCATTTAAACTTTGATAGGACGTTTTCTGAAGAAACTCAGCAAGTGTTGGCTGTATCATTACTAAGATACGTTCGCTAAGTCTCATCATATTTTTCATAAAAATACTCATATTAGATTGATTCTTATTTAGAATAATATTATCGTGAACTGTAGTTGCTGCTTTCAGTAAGGATATGACATGTTCATTCGATGATAATAAACAACTAATTCGGTCTTTGTGAGTTGAAAATGTTAAGAGACAAGAAATGCCGACATTTACTATTTTAAGACGAAGTTTTTCCATCTCATGAAAAGCTGATGAAGATATTGTTTGAATACTTTCTGTAATAAGATTAATCCATTTTTCACCAACTCTACGACATTTCATAGCTAAATCAGCAGTTTGGTCTACTCTTGTTGATTTGCAAATAGTTAACAGTCTCATTGTAATCATTGTAATGACCACTAATACCAATTCATTTTGCCAATTCAATTCACAATCATCTAAATGATGATCTAATCTTGAGACTAATTCATCGACAAAATGATCTTCTAATAACTGTTCATGCGATTCAGGACACCAAGTATTAGACAAGATCCTCGAATCTGCTGTCAATGGGCCATATTGTAATATCGAATGTATAATCAATATTACAACACTTTCCTCAGCAATGGACAAGGAGTCCATTTCAAAAATCGTTAAGAGATTCCACCATTGTAAACGATGTCCTGATCGAAATGAACCGAACTCCACAAATTGTGTGGATTTTAGTCGTGGTGGACAATCAGACAGTTTAGCAATAACGTGATTTTGCACAAATTGCGTAGTATTTACAGTAAACTGTAACTGTTTATAGTCTGAATGGTCAAGCTGAGGCGTTAATATACGACATTCATCTTCAAAACTAATTGGTTTAGTTGATGAGATTTGAACTTGAAGACTATTTTCGTATAAAAAGTCGTTGACAGATGCAGAAGCGATTGATGGAGACGAATAGTGAGTTTGTGTCACAGATTTAGTGGGAGATACTAATTTCACTTTGGTGTTATTTGGACCAGTATAGTAGGGTCCTAGTTTGCTGGCATGAGGAGGGACACTTAACCATTCATACATATTATGCTGTGGGTGTGGATTAGGACGATTCGCAAATTGCCAGATGATATCACGATAATTTCTAATTTCAATGGGCATTTGTAATTCAAAAATAACAGCTAATGCCCTTTCTTGTTTCAATGGTAATGGACATTCATAAATGTGTACTTGAATGTCGTTCGCTTGTTGCTGAATTCGACATCTGTAACATGTCTCAATATAATTATATTCATTGTAATAGCATTGACAAGAACGACCACTTATTGAATTCATAAGTTGCCTATATCTTTCTTTGGCATTATTTACTTCTATTATTTTTTGTTGTTTATCTCGTTCAGCCTGAGCCCTAATTTCCCGTACACTTTCGTTCATCCCCGGTATTTGATTGGCGAAATATACACCAAATGCATTCTCAGACTCTATATTTGTTAAAATATCAGGATATTGTTTTTGATTGAATTCACTAAAATAATCATATAGACTACGCACTCTAATCATATCTTCTTGATTTGGTAAGATCAAAAATTCGAACAGATTCATAAGATTAGGAATATGAATAGAATGTAGTTTTAGGCGCTCAAATCTTGGATCACTACATAGCTTTCGGTGCATAGAACGAATAATCGTTAAAGACGTTAAAATGAATCGACTATAACCCATTGGATCTGTTGGACCTTTTTCGGAATAATAATGATTGAGTGCTACGCTCTGATAATCTTCATAGAAGCGTAATAAAATTTCAAAACGATTCTTTCCATTTATGAATAGTGATGGATGATTGATCCATTGTTCTACACATGATTCAACCCAAATTTCCATACGTGTCAAGGATATTCCAATAGTATAATTCCATTTTTTTGTTAGCTCATCATAGGATGGTATATGGTCTGTTTGATTAACATTAGTGAAATCTTCATAATTATTGACACCTGAAAAAAGACCAGATGTTTCGTTCGAATTGTGATTATTCAAATAAGCTGTTAATTCTAGACACAAATGTTGATAAATGTCAGAATTGTCTAGTTTAAACTTATTCATGAACAGTTTTTGATTGGTTTCTTCTTCAGTCTGTATAAGTTTCTGCCAATCTGGCTTTGGAAGAATCTGATCAATCTTCATTTGTATTTCTTGTTTGGTATGTTGGATCCATTTGTTCAGATCATTCAAATTTGTGGACGAAATTAAACCTTCAATTTTATCCAATCTTCGTACGATTTTGCGAATGCAATGAACTAATAAATCAGTCGAACTTGGTCTCATGGAAATAACATGTGTAAGAAAATGAGTGATTAATAATTTATAAACGAGAGTACCAACGTTTCCCAAATGTTTGGTTAGAATTGTTTGAAAGGCTACTTTGATAGTCATCCATAAACCCGAACGTCGAAATGGTAACAATGCATTATTCCATCTAATCTGATCACGATGTTTTTTCTTAAATTGACAGAACGACTTGCAATTGTTTTCGATTTCTACTCCTTGAAACTGATGAATCCACCACTGACATACATAATATGATTCCGGTACGTCACGTATTTCAGCAACTTCGCGAGAAGCTTTAGAAGATTTAGAATATTCAACGGTATTGTTCATAAAATCTATTAACAATTCACAATGAGCTGTGGAACTCAGTTGAGATCGATTCTGCAATCTGTTTGTTGTTATAGGAAAACAAGAAAGATGTAGTGAAAGAGAAGAAGTTATTTCTGTAGTTGGTAATAAGACTTGCCAAGCTGAAATTAATGGTTGATTGACGTTGTTTTCATCTATTTCAATTAAGACTGCAGCATTTTGAGCATGAAAATAAAGAGAAAAGAAACTTCCTGATGGTAATTGCTCGATAGTAGATTGCAGATTCGATACGGAGATGTTTTGGAGATTCTGTAATATGGACCAACGTTCGACACAATCTATAAGAATTCGAAAGACAGGTAATATATTTGTTACATCAGTCGATACAAATGAATTCAAATATTCTTTCATGCATTCCAATATTTTGTGCTCATATTGATGATTGTTTTTAATTAAAAAATCATCGTCAGCAGAAGACGGTAGATAGTGTGGAAGAAACAAATGATTTAAAATTGATTCATCCATGTCTTAGAATTCTAAAGAATTGCTATGATCATCTATTCTACTCAATACGATTCTGAAAAAGAACACCAAATGTAAACAAATTAAATATGAGAGAAAAAAATGCCGAACAAAAATACGAAG